AACAATATGCCTTTAGCGGAAGCTTTGTTAAACCAAATGTGTTATTCTAATATGGGATGAACGAGAAAAATCACACGTCGTATAGCGCAGGGCAAAGAAGAGCCTATGGGGTGCACTTATGTACGGCCGTTTATGTAGGTTAAGTATGTGAAATACTCATTTGCGTATGTATGAGAATTTACTCAGGTACCGATGTTTTTTGCCTACTCAATACAATCTTATCACATGTTTGCCCAAAGGGGGGCTTTCAATGTATTTTTCTTTACCCTCAAGTGAGGGAAATAATTGAAATAACAGTAGGGGAATTCAAGTTATGGATATTATCATTTTTTACCGGATTTCTAATGAAAAAGTACGAAAATGATAAGATAGGTAATTTAAAGGAACATGTGATAGCATTTTACAGAAGATCTCAAAAAAGATGTTCCCCTATATATAATACATGCATATAGGGATGACTTCCAAAGATAGTTTCAATTATAGGGAAAACATGCAAAACAGCTCCGAAAACGTCTCAGAGAAGGAATGTTTTTCACAAAGTAAGCACTACCAAGCAGTTATTATTGCATATGACGAATTAATTTGAGAAAAGAAGAAAACTTTAGAAATGACCTTCTCATATTTAGGAGGTTTCAGAAGAGATATTCTATACATAAAATGCACCAGAAAAAACCTTCTCTTAACCTTCTCTTAAAACCTTAAGTTTTCGGTATACTTACTAAGAGATTTTAATATATAAAAACATTCTATACTATTTATATCCAGAAACTTCTGAAAACCTTTTCAACATCCAAAAAATCTCTCATATATAGAGGCATCGAAAGATATCTTATATAAAAAGCCTCAGAAAAGGTATGCCTTACATACACAAGATGAGTTTAGACTTTTCCTGTCCATAAAAATTCTGAAGACTTATTCTCTCAGAACTGCTCAATTTTACTTGCGAGTGAAAGATTTGCGCTTTACAGAAGTTTACTCGCGAGAACTCCTTTTAAACAACATGCTCGAAAGAGTTTAATTTGAAATTGAGCGGTTAACTATCCTACGCTTTGTTGATAGAGATTGGCGAAAATCCTATTAGATATTGTTACGTTTGTAGAATGGGTATGCACATGAAATTTATAAAAACAAGTTAAAAAGTATCAGTCGGTATTGCCGACAGATATATACCATCAGCCTACGTTAGATTATTTAAATATATTTTGGCTATTATTAAGATTATTCAAACGTTTGACCCTCTATGCTGCAGGTTCCGAAGAAATGGGTCAATATTGTCCATTTCGTATATTATGCCAAATCATAAAAACAGGTAAAATTATTGAAAATTGTGACACTATGTGGGTGAGGTGCCAGAAGGGGTTCAAATTGTTTGTATGTTTGAAATTTGCAGAGTTGGATGCTTATTTCGCTTTATTTGAGCGTTTTTTTTTCAAAATCTTGAATCTTGGGGGAGGTACCAGAAGAAATGGTTCGATCTATACAATCTTTATAACAGATCTTGTGTTGATAGAAATATTCAGATGTGCCAAGTCTAAATGGAATCGGATGTTAATTTGGCGTTTTATGAGCCACATGGGTATTCAAAATGTCGACATTTTGTGGGGGAGGTACCAGAAGGAGTTGACCGATATATTCCAAGTTAACACCAGATCTTAGGTTTATAGAAATATTGGGGTGTGTGAAATTTTAAGACGTTTGGTTCCTTACATCACATTTTATAAGAGTTATAATTATTCAAAATTTTGACCCTTTGTGGTGGAGGTACTTGATGGAGTGGACCGATATAGTCCATTTTCGCACCTGACCTAGCACTTACGCAAATATTAGGATTTGCAAATATTATTATTCGAGCAAAATCGGAACATCCTTTCTCTTTCTGTGCAGAAAATTTTTTTTTTGCAAATTTCGACCTTTTGTGGGGGAGGTACTTGATGGAGTGATCCGATATTGTCCAGTTTTGCACCTGACGTTGCGCTGTTACAAATATTAGGATTTGCAAAGATGGGGCAAAACCGGATCATTATTTCTCTTTCTGTGCAGAAAATATATTTTTTGAAAAATTCGACCTTTTGTGGGGGAGGTACCAGAAGGAGGGGACCGATATTGCCCATCTCCGAACTCGATCTAAGTTTGACAAAAATATTACGATGTACAAAGTTTGGACCAAATCGGGTACTCCCTTCGAGAGTTATCGTGCGCATCAGCCAGCCAAACAGGACGGACATCGCTAGATCGACTCCAAATGTCCTGAAACGGATTTGGTCCAAAGAGACCTAGGGTCTAAAACCGTTATTTCGACTAGGCACGTTTTGACCGTATCAAATGATATATACCCTCTGTAGCCATATGGCTGAGGGTATAAAAGCTGAAACAGTAGTAGGAAAACTAGAAGTATACTCGCTCTAATTCGAGAGTCCGAGAAAAATATCGTATACTCAATGTTTTTTTACTCAACGGCGTACTCCCACAGGATTTACTCCCGAATCGAACATGTATGAGCATTTCTCATTATATTGTTTACAAGCCTACAAAAGCATTGTGGTGGGAATTTTCCAGAAAAAAGTTATTCGTGATGGAATTCAAGCGTGATAGTGTGATTTCCTTATATTTGACTGGAAAACCACAAGTGGCTATCGTTAGAGCACACATGCATTTAAATGTGAATAAATCTTTTGTGTCTCTATTTGACCTCGTCGCGATGGCCGAAAATGGCTCGTGAGCTGAACATATCGCAATATTCCATTCGGCAAATATTGGAAATATTGGCTCGGGGTAAAGCCATTGCAATTCCAAAAAGCGCAAGAACTTACAGCGCAACAGAAAGAAAATATATTCAAAAGAGCTAAAGAGTTGCATTGCTTGGCCGAAAGTGGAGAACTGCCGAATTTGGTTTTCTCCGATGAGAAAACATTCGTTGTCCAGCAGTTTGTAAACAAACAAAATTATCGTGTTTACTTGCCAAAGAGGTCAGTTGAAAGTTTGGTCGCGATGGTCGCTCTCCGCTCGTACTAATCGACCGTGGTATCAGAATAAATGCCGAATATTATAGCGAAAATATTCTGGAGGGTGTATTCAAGCCTTGAGCACGCAAACATTTTGGCCGCAGACCTTGGACATTCCAACAGGACTCAGCACCATTACACTCAGCACGCACCACCCAAGAATGGTTACAAAATGAGGTTCCTCGCTTCATTTTCGGCGCACAATGGCCACCAAAATCTCCGGATACGAATCCGTTGGACTATTGTGTCTGGAGTATTTTGGAAAGCAAGGTTGGCACTAAAAAATACCAGTGTCGATCACCTCAAGCAAGCGCATCGCAATACAATTTAAAAAAAAAAAAATTAAAAATTATGGCGTTTGACTTAGTTGCAGTTTATTTATCTCACCCTGTATATATTATAAGACTTCTGGCTAATATAACAAATCGGGTTAAAGAAACACCGTTGAAGATATGTGAGCTATGTCTAAATCTGAACCGATCTTCACAAAATTTAATACACTTATTTCAAAGCTGTATCTGATATCTGAGACCAAAGATCATTGTTGTGGAATGCATATTACGCATGTAAGGGACTTTAAATCCAAAAGCGGATAAAACATATGTATAGGAGCTTTAGCTATATCTTAACCGATTTACGAAATTTGAAGTACTTGCTTCTAGACTGAATTCGGTACCAAACTTCAGGTCATTGGGACTTATATTGACCATATGGTGCACAATTAACCAGAAAATGGTTGAATATATATGGAAGCTATATCTAAATCTTATCCAATTATCACCAATTTTCAAAGGGTTCGTACTTGGGCCAAACAAATATTGTCTGCAAAATTTCATCTCAATCGGATGATAAATGTGACCTGCATTTTGTTCCCAAGAATCGACTCAGAAAGTGATTCTATGAATATCGTTTAAAAGTAACTAACACGCTTCCTTCTATCTGTTGCAAACAAATGCACAAAGACATAATACCCTTATCACTATACATGTATAAAGATCAATAAATGATAAAACCACGATTCGAAGAAGACTTGGTGGGCTATCAGAAAATGGATTTTTTTGAAAGAGTCGCGGGAGGGCACATTTTTTTTTTCCCGAAAAAAGTATTTTTTATGATCAGAAAATGCGCTCATATTCCAGCTTTTCGGGATTATAAATAACTGGAATGTAATTGAAAATTTCAAAAAATATTGACAGGGATAGTAATTTGACGTCTTCTGAAATACAAAGATCTCACACCAGACTTCTTTATATTTAGAATGCTTCAAAAGAGAGAAGATCGCCTGAGATTGTTGTGCTATTCTATAACTGGTTGACGACATTTGTCGACAAATTAACGAAATTTGTCGGTAAATTAGCGACGAAATGAAATATTCACAAAGACCTACCAAAGAAACAAGGTTGATAATTAATAGTTCTCTTGTTGTATGAAAGCTACAGATTTTTGTCGCTGCCATCAATAAAATTTTGAGAATCCCACTACTGAACAGTTCTTCCGATTTATAATGACATTTCTTTCCTTGATTCAGTGACTACCCCTAATTATTAATATGGGCGCAAATGTGGAAAATCCAAACACAAGTAAATACGATACAGACGGTACGCTGCGGTGCGGTCGGTAATGACGAGGCGATAAAAAATTATGGGAAACGATGGCGGGTGCTGCCACCGTAGAACATGAAATACTCATTGCCCGCTTTCTTTTGTGGCAGAAAAGAAACGAAGGCAAGTAAAAGAGACCAAAGCAACAGAAGAAGAAGAATACAAAAACAATAGCATGTGTTATAATTAAATATTGAGGTTAGGAAATGCAAAAATGTAACAAAATAAAAAATGACAATGCAAGGGAGAAGAAGAAGAAGAAGAAGAAGAAGAGACACATCTAAAATACAATGTACATCAAAACATAATCACGGCTAAATGACCTGAGGAAAGCAGAGACGACGGGTTGGTTTTATTTTCTGTGCTGTAAAAATGAAATCGAAAAATGTTTACTAACCTTAGAACCAATTTGGTTACCGCATTGGCCAGCTTGCAAATGAACGATTTCCCTCATGTTGTACTAAAGATTTTTTCCTCAAATTTATTTGGAAAATAAAAATTAATATTTTTTGGATTTTCTTCTTTCACAGCTAGGTACCTAGGTATGAAAGTGAATATTTGTACACTGTTGGGCACTTTTTACGACAAGAACAACAACAACGACGGCGACACTGTGAGCAACTCGACGGACGTTAACGACAACGTGTTAAATCGCACAATTTTCAGAATAGAACAGACCGATTTTTTGATTCGATAGACTTCTCCTATCCAGCTGAGGTATACGCACGAACGCACTTTCAGATACTGCTGGTCGCGTTTGACGACAACGAACACCGCACCACCGTTTTGTAACAACAATAACAATTAACAAATATAACTGAATTTGTACCGCGATATGAGGAGATACTCAGATACTGGCACTACTTTGGTCTGATAATGAGAGCACACTAACAAAAAAATTAGCTACACAGCTAGCTAGCATAGCAGCGTTGTCGGAACGTAAAATGAATGAATCGGTAAAATACAGCTGAGCGACAATGTAGTTATTGTTGTTTTCTGTTTGTGTACGCATGGATGTGTTTGCTTTAGTTCTGTTGGAGACGTTTCTTGTTGATGTCGCTGGTATTGTTGTTGTCATTGTTGATAACACGATGCCAACAAGTGGTGCTGGCCGCCGTGGTGGTGTGGTTATTTGAAAGAAGCAAGAATATTTAAAAACACACACACAAACATTGCTTACGAACCTGAATCTGTAAAATATATAAAAGAGAACTCAGAGGTAGTAAAAAATGCCAAGAGTGTGCTGAGAGAATTCTCGTTAGACCCATGCAAAGCGCAATGTGAAAAAAAATAGAACGCATTGTTTTGATGTCTTGTTGAAAATCACATGTTTCCCATTCCCCATAATCTTTATGCCGACTGTTATTGAATTTTTTAATACATTTCGTGATCTGAGCGAGTGAACTGTAGAGATTGAGATTGGGGAAAACAAATGAGAGAGAGAGAGAGGGTGAGAGAAATGTGGCATTAATTACAAAGAGCAAAGTACGATCAAAGTTTGCCACAAGGAGACTTTGAATAAATAGAGGGTTATGGTTGTTCACATAACAAGTATTGCAGTGGAGTTTCAAATGAAAAATCCACTGTTCAAATTTGAAAACGGATGGAACTTATATATGGGAGCTATATCTTAATGTGAATTGATTTTTACTAAATTTGACGGAGGTATTTTTCCTGGTCTATGTAACCTCTCGTAATAAATGTCACTGCTAAACGCTACATAATAGGTCTGTCTAGTTACTTTAACTGGATGAATTGTCCAGCAAATTTATTCTGAGACACTAGGGTGGTTATATTTTTGTTTGAAAGAAAAGTAAACTAATCAATGCAAAGTCAAACCGATTTCGATAAAAGTCGTTCAGAATATCATTATTGTAGATTGTATACTTAGAAGAAATATATGGTTTTTATATTTAACCCCAACTTATATTTTGACAACTTCTTATTTCGGGTACATATCCTTGTAGAAATAATGGATTATAAGGTTGATTTGTTGGTAGTTGCGATTAGTGATGATGAATGAAAAAGAATAATCGATTAATCGAAACGACAAAAAATAATCGAGATTAATCGGTACCGAATATCGTGTAGTACTTACATGGAGGCTATACGAAAGCGTGAGCCTGTATTGCCAACTATCTGCTAGAGCAGGCATATTGCAAACTCAAAATACCAATTTGAGATAATTTATTTGGAAAGTGTGCCGAAAAACAAACAAATAGGGGCTATCGAAAGGTACAATTATATTAGGGATATTCGAAAATGTGGACATTCATAGGAAATTTTTGTCTTAAGAATTGGTACCCATTGCCAAATTCGGTGAAAAGTGTGGCACAAATAATCACAATTATTAGTACCAAATTTAAAACAATTCCGGTGAAATTTTGTATTGGAGTCTCTGTTGGTGGTAGGTTTGTGATAAAGAGGTGTTTTTGTTTTATTTAGTAACGAACGGTACTAAATAGTACTATAATTGGTATAATTTGGTATTTGGTGAAGAGATAGTGCTTAAAACCTGAAATTTGGCATTGTGCTCCCTGTTCATATGTGGCCTGGACCTATTGAGGTGGTTTCTTATTTGTTTTTTTTTATACCGTCTACCAGTCTATTGAGAGTAACTCCTGGAAATACTTATGTCACACCCGACAAAGTATATTTAGCATATACATATACAATTCTAAGTCAATTTAGCGATGTCCGTCAGTGTGTGTCTGCCTGAACGTCTGTTGTAATCACGCTATCTTTTTAATGAATTGATATAGAAGGGAGCCTGAGTTCGTAAATGTTCAATGTCGGTCCATGAATTCGGTATTTTAATGATTCTAGAGACATTATAAACCAAATTTCGTACTTAAAGTTCGTAATGGGTACTACAACCTACGGAACCAACCTTTATTAGGTATTTTCATGATATTAGAGAAATTGTTCACGGGAATTGTTTCAAAATTCGTATTTGAAGTCGCTACCACAGCTTATGACAAAAACCTCAACATACTTCCAACTACTTAAATCTCAGGTACCGTTAAACGGGAGAACATGCGCAATGGTGAGTAATGAATGGGAAATCCAATGTTGGTAGTATTCGAAGATCAAAATCACAAAGGGGGTTTTGGGTTCTCAGCCCAAATTTTAAGGGTCCATTACAATCTGAACCTTACTCCACACTTCGCTTTGCTTAATTTCGAAGGTCAAGATCGAAGATGAGCTATATCGGCCCACAGTATCATATAGCCCCCCATATAACGGTACTCCCCGATATTCTGTATTTTGATGATTGTAGCCAAATTTTTTAATAAAATTGTCTGAAAATTCGCAAAGAGTGTCCTTTTTGAGTACTTTACTCCTTGGAAGAGAAATGTGTATATAGGTCAACAATATCGTTTAGCCAACATACAATATTTTGGCTGAATTTGAATTTAAGGGCATTATTCAAGGAAGTTGTTTCAAATTTCGTATTTAGTATTCGAAATGGGTACTACAACCTATGACAAAAACTTGCGTATGCAGGCCCAGGTCATCGTATATGCTCCACAAAACGGTACGGTATTCGGTATTTTTACTATTTTACTATATTTTACTATTTTTGACCGAAATTGTTTGAAATTTTAATTGAAATTTAAAGTTCCTAATGGGTACTACAGCCTGTGGCAGAATATTGTCTATGCAGGTCCAGGTCTTCGTATAGCCCCGATATAACGGTACTGCCCTATATTGGGTGTTTTGATGATTTCAGCTACATATTCACCGGTTTTTTTTCAAGTTTCGTATTTGAATATTGCAATGCCTTATGACAAAAGTTGTCTATACAGGTCCACGTCTTCGTATAGAGCACAATGTACAGCTATATTCGGTATTTTTAAAACTTTAACAAAATTTTTAACGGATTTTATTTTTTGAAAATTTCCAAATTTGTTAAAAATGGTGGAGGGTATTCAAAGTTCGGCCTGGCCGAACTTACTGCTTTATTATTTGTTTCAATTGATTTGACCCTTATTTAACATATTGATTTCTATGGGAAAAAAAATCAATGCAGTTAATGTTTCGGAGTAGCTCCCATGTAAAAGTACATTTTCTAAACGATTTAACTAAAAAAATATTTAGGCTACTTTGGGGGGAGAGGACCATCTTACAGAAAAATCTCAACAAAGGGATGTATTTTTTCGTAGCCCCAAATGATATTACCAAATGATATAACCGATTGGTGGACAAACAGGCGGACTTTTTAATCGTCATTGAATCGTCTTTTAAAATAGAAATTCACTTTGACTATCCGGCCCTTAATTATGATGCAGTCAAAACTAGATACATGCAGCACAATTTTTTTAAAATTGCAAATTTTAAATTATAGCTCATTTGAGAATTATTATAGGACCTGTGCCGACTATGGGAATATGTTATGCCGATAATTGAAAGTGGTGCCAACTACTGGCAGAGAAATATATTTTAATAAAATTGCAATTTTTTCTTATTTAATAAAAAATATTGGAACTTTGTCGAAAAATTTGAAGATTAAACAAGATTTCTAATCTAAACAACCCAATTTCACTGTAATCAAAAAATTTTACACAAGTGAAATGTTGAAGAAACGAAAATTCTAAAAGTATCGACCACTCGTGCACCAATACAATATAAAGCTAGTCCCGGGTTTTTTTCCCAAGTCTAGCGCTCTTTATTTTTAATCTCGCTTAATATGGGCAATACCTCCATCTCGCCAAGGGTTAAAATTATGAATATTAATTTTCCACCATTTAAATAAACGTAATGGGACTTAGACTGACAAAATCCCTCTCCCCAAAAAAAAAATACATTTTAAAAGAATATAAAATGTGAAACTAGTCCCCAATTCCCAAAAATTTGCATATAATTTGTTTGTTTTGATTTTTTAAATAACAACTGAATGTGTTATTGTCTGCCATAAACTATAGTTCATAGATCCAAATCGCATACATGAAACTATCAACAACCAAGTTCTACAATTTTGTTGCGTTAAACGATAAGGTGATCTCAGTTTTTTTCAATTACAATTGCATGTCTACTTTATTATTGGGTCATCTCAATTTGGAAATATTGTGCGCTACTAGTTTTGGACATGACGTACGGAGAAAAAAAATGTTACGTTTTAAAAAGATTGTGTCATCCAAGAGAATTGGAAGAAGAGAACGTTTCCATCTATTGTTTATTGCATTTAGGTATTTGATTTCAAATGGTTTTCATTATCAACCGTCAGGTGTAACTCATCCACAATTACGTCATTTGATTTTTCATTTCAACTTTTTCTCGTTGCATGTGTCATCTAAAAATGGTTTGTTGTGTAGTTGAGATCATTTCCAAAAATTGTTCCACTGATAAACTCAATGACGGCATGAGCTGGCATTTATTGCAAGTGTGACGTGTGTCATTGAACTTCAATTCGATGGTGAATTGGACTTGATTCCAAATGTCAATAGGTGTGTACGATAACTAGCCAGTCAAAATTACTCAATGACTGTACTGATTTAATGTCAATAGGAATTGCAAGTATTTGTCGTAAATTGCTGTTATTTTATTAAGTTTAAATTGTAAAAATTCGAATATCGATAAAATATATATCGATATACCGTAATACAGGGGGTATATGATATCTTCTAGTACTCAGAAGGAACTCCTTGTGATGATTTTCAGACAATTCCGTCATATGGGGGATATACAATATCGTTGACCTATATAGACAATTCGCATCTAACAAAGAACTTCTTCTGTAGAATTTCAGCAATTCCATTGAAATGTGTGACTAAAATCATTAAAATACCGAATATTGGGGGTACCGTTAAATGGGGGCTATACGATATCGTGGACCGACATAGCCCATCTTCGAAATTGAACTGCCTGCAGGCAAAAGAGAGATCTGTGCAAAATTTTAGCTTCCTATCTATTTTCGTTTTGACTGTAGCATGATTATAACAG